GTGGATTGCATTACTACACAGTATATTATCAGAAGCATGTATTGTGTTGTGACGGCTAGTGGTGAGAATGGGTGAGCAGTCATGTTTTAAAGCAATTTGAAAAATTAAACAAATGTATTTATTTTTTATTTTTATTCCCCCATCTGAACTTTTTAATACAAATAGTTTGAGTTAAATGATTTTATTAACAGTTCTTAACTGACATTTTTAGAACATGAATTTATATTCAACCAGATATTCAAATTATTCGATTTTCACCCAGATTTACTGAACTTGATTGGATTAATTATCTGGATTACAGAGCTATGTGTGGAAGGAGGAGAGATGCCTTCATTGAAGACATTTAAAGGAAACTGCATTATTTTCACATCATGGTTGGAGAAAATCAAGGAAACTCCCATGCAGTGAGCCCATTCATTGGAATATGAAGCTGAGTCTAAATACCAGCGCTCAGCGGTTTTGCCGCTTTGACAGCTGGTGGGCCTTCACTGACTTTTAATTGTTCTTGACTTCTCTTAAAAAATTTGCTCATATGTGCAACAGTTGGGACTAGATATTCATTATTAATTATTTAGATTGATCATAGAATTCTTTCTGATATAAAATTTTAGTCAACATCTCCTCCCCTCCAAGTTTCAATTTTTTTTTTTTTTTTTTCAGAATTCTAAACCAGGACTGCATAATATCCTTTCTTCATTTATGCACACTGTTGTAGTGAAGTCAGGAGAACAAATAAATATATTATATATTTAGAAGTGTGTGACTGACTGAATGAATAAACGCTAAATTGATATTACAGTGCTCATGTATTCCAGTTTTGAGCAAACAGATACTTAAAAGTAAACTTTGAAAAAATCTTAGAAGATGCTCATATATTGTGAAGTAAAGTGATGAATTAAGCTTATGATATTCTTTTTGTCAAACTATTGTTCTTTCTCTCATTTTAAGATAGGATAGTTTTCAAATAATCTCAGGATATAGTGTCCCATTCAAAAGGGCTTAGTTTTTATGTGTTTCTGCTAGAGCTTAAATTGCACTGAAGCCTGGTTCCAATACTTCTTAATTTTTTAGATAAATTGTAATTTTAGCTGGAGCTCACAAAACCCAAAGTAAGAGGGCTTCGGCATTCTTTTGTGTAGCTACTAAACAATTTCAACAGAAATGTTTTAAAAAATATTAGTCTTAAAAATTGATCCTAACATCTGAATACATGCCTCTGTCGGCGACGTAAACTCATCGACAGAGGATGAGATTTTTAAGGGAAAAAAAAAGTCCTCACCCAAAAGTCAAAACTTATTCTTAGAAGTGCAATGAATTTATGAAAGCAGATAAATGTCCAAAGCTAGTGATTTCCGGCAGAAAAAGCATCTGCAGAGTTTATGGAACAATATAACCAAATACACCGAACGGAAATTGTTATTTATTCAACACCTTATGTACAGTACTCCAATTATCCGAACTCCTGCTATTGGAATCGCTTTCAGAATTTAAGAAAACAAATTAAGAGGGAAACGTAGAATGATTGGACAATGATGATTTCATACATTAAAAGGAGTAAATCTACACTTTTTAACTTCGTGTCACTGCTTGAAAACAAAGATGGAAGAATTTCAAGGAAATCAATGAAGGCAGCAACAAACAAAAGTTTAGAAGATGGCGTTTTCAAAGGGTTTTTGCAGCAATGATCTATGGGAAACCCAATCTCGGGTCCGATTCTTTGTGAAGAAGCTAAGATCTTAGCTCAGAAGCTTGGTTGCTCATCCTTTAAAGCAAGTTGCTGGATAGGAAATTTTAAGTGCAGGCACGGTGTCCGTCAAATACCATATCTAGCCATAATTTGAGTTGTAGAATCGAAACGAAAGAAAATGGTATGTTATTTCAGAAAAAGTCAGATTTGATGTCAAAATACCTATATTAGAACAGTGTTATATATAAATATAATCTATATATATCCTAAGTCGCGTTTTCGAGACACGATCAATCCAATTTGAATTTCATCAATCTGCCTAGTAGAACGGGATATAGAATTGTCTTCTTCTTTTTTTTTTTTTTCCCCCACAGTTTGCATGTAAAAAAGTTATATATATAACATAATCAAAGCTGATGAGATGAAATTTAAGAGCAACAGAATTCTTCTTTAGGGAGGGAGAGAAGCCTAGTGCTGGCCTTAAAAGTCTTTATACAATTAATATTTATTTTCGCAACCGTTTGTTTTAGACATACACTCCGGTTACAAAAACATGTTAAGCGACTCAAATATTTATATTTAGGTATTTTTATAATTTAAAGAAACCTATTTAAAACATTATGTAAAACTGAACTTTCTTGTTATCCTCCGTTTTTGTAATTAATTTACATTCATATGCATATGTAATGAAAAAGACTTAATGTTGATAGCATAAAATGTTGAATCCACAATGAAAAACAAGCTTAACAGCCGATGAAGATTAAATTTCATTTTTACTTCAAATGATATTTGTGGCCAGAATTCACTTGCCAATCTAATCGTGCCTATTTCCTGAATATTTACATTTCTGATATTATTGCGATAGGAAGAGAGCAGAGAAGCAGCGTCCTAACGGCATCTGAGGTAGAAGCAAAAGTGCGCAATGATCCAGTATGGAGGTTTACCAAGAGAAGGTTTAAATTCTCAAAATTTTGAGTTCAGGTTGCGAATTAGCTACGTCATCGGCGTTACGTAAGGCATATGAGATGGACTGATCTGGAAATGACGCAGCCCAGAAAAGTTATTACTATTTTTAGAATATGGAGGAAATATCCAAATTCAGAATGATGAATTAAGAGGCTATTGGTAAATTAAATTAGAAAGCCGGTTTATATATATTTTTTATCTTACACACACACACACATACGTGTATATGTATATACATATATATACGTAAATTGAAGCCTGTACGACAAAAAAATAACCAAGATATTTGAGATGTTTAAGATAAGTTCGAATTCATGTTTAGAAGTCACACACTAACTGAAGAGCGAAATGTCTGCATCTATGTGTAAGTAAAAGTGAATATGCCTGTTCATAAAAAACATTCTGATGTTAATAGGTTAAGTGATGAGCATTGCTATGCTATATCGTGAAAAGTACTGAACACTATAATTTTTTTCAAAAGAAGGAGATACGGAACCATATAGTATTTATGCTCCAGAAAACATAGCAGACTTCAGTATTAGCACTTAACCAGCTCATAACATTAACTAAAAAATAAAAAAATGAAAAATAGTTCTAGTTTAAAGAATTTTTGTGTCATTATCATTGTAAAGTAATAAGAGTGCATAAAAATATTGTTACGAAATGCTCAGGGGCAGTAAGACAGATTCTCCGGAAAATGGCGGCCGAGCGGTAAAGTCGCTGAACACTGGTAGTTCGGTCTGAGGTTCGAATCCCGCGAACGGGCTGTCTGCATGAGCGTTTTCGTGGTGTTCCCCATATGTAATGTGCATACGAGCCAGTTTCCCTTAGAAAATCCTCCACAAAGGCATCTCTTCCCTTAGGCAGATAGCGCTAGTTGCTTTGCCATAATTAAGTACACCATACACCACCTCGGAAAATGGCAAAGGAAGACAGGGTTGCCATAGACGGAGCGAGAACAGTCCAGAACGCATTCTTACCAAATTAGCCCCAGAATGTTCTCGGAGGCAAGCCAAAAGCTATATAAACCTATCTATATGTGGAGTAGCGTTCATCGTATTATGAGTTTTATAGTGAAGAGTTTCTTGAGTGTGTTGAGCTCCGAGAGCTATCGACTGAGTATTTAGTGTTTTGCCGGAAAGCTGTCTTCTCTGTTATAGCCTGACAGTCTGAAGGCTGTGTTGCTGATTGTTTCAGCATGTTTGTCATTGTTTTTCGACTACTGTAACATTGATGTGCAATATTGTGTTTTGATTCTTTATCAAGTGTTTTCATCAATCACTCCAAATCCACAAACCCCTAGAACGCAACAATATCAATAACGAGTTTGAAAAATTTTAAATTACTTGTGTTTGCTAAAATATTGTATATATTTTAGCAAAACCTATGTAACAAATTTAGGAATTCAAGAATATCATTGAATGACATTAAAGGGGAAAATATCAACTTCAAATTCTTGTAATTTACTTTTTAACAGACCCCTCATGAAAAGTCAAAAGAGATGGCAAAAATCCCAAATTTTGAAATTAAACATCTCTGATAGTTTTTATCGAACGGTAATCAAACTATTTGCGTTTCATTTTTCAGAGTGAACATTATTAAAGGGAATGAGAGACCAAATAAAAAGTTATATAAATACTTCATTCAAATCTTGAGAAATCCGAATGGGATAAGAAAACAAAAAGAAGAAAAAAATCTTTCTTTTTCATTGAAAGTATCAGTTTATATCTTCTATGTCGTCTACAAGCTTTAATATAGTTTTCAGAAAGCATCTCCTCACATTATTGAGGGTGGCTTACACACCATAATCTTCCCACATAGATTTTAACTGTGTGGATAATAATCTACGATTTTTTAAACTCAGTCTTAAACATTTCCCGTCTTTTCATACAGAAGGTCTTTTTTACCTAAACGTGACAGTGACAAATGTTTTTTAACTACACTTACAACCTGAAGTGAAGCTTTTAGTTTTTTAAGGAATATCTTTTTGTTTCAGGCCAGCATTTTTTAGTAATACTTAGATTTTTCCTCTTAATTTCTCGTTAAAAATTTTCTATTTATCCTTTATGAGTTATTAAATAAATTTAATAAAATAAGAGTATAAAAAATTAAGTATCTAAAATTAAAACAAATATTCAAAACTTTAAGGGAAAGTAACAAATGGAAATTAATGAATAAAATTAATTAAATCTAAATATTAAATTTACTACACCAGTGAAATAACGAAATATTATTAACTATTAAAATAAAATCAACCTTTTTGAAAGAAAGAAGTGTATAGAATTTATTTTAACGCTAGCGATTGTAAACATGGTGCCATTTCTTTCGTTAAATGACATGCAAGAGATTTAATTCATTTGAAAATTTATTTGCTGAAACAAAATTGCAGATTAGAAAACTTTAACCATAATCTGCCGGCAATAGATGTACAATCGGGCACTGATATATGCATACGTCCAAAAAAGAATTAAGAACTAATTATATTAAAAATATATACCATTATTACGAATCAAAACTCTATTTTTATTTGAATTATTCATACCATTATTCCTTAAAGTCGGAAGCATTTGGTAGGAAGTTATTTTCCTACAGTTGTTTTGAGACTATAAGGATGAGAGATCGTTTTTGATCAAGTTCGGAAACGCTTTTTCAAACAACAACAAGAAAAAAAAATTGAAGTAGTAATGCTCCAGAGTTCTATCTTATGGCATGTAGCCCTCCAAAATATTGCAGCCAATGTAAAAGATATAAGCAGACTTTCCAACAACTTAATCCGCAAATGGCCTTCCGAACAATTTAAGAATCGTAGGAAGTCAATGAATCTCAGATTTCAGTGGGGTACTCAATTAGGAGTTAACAAAAACGATCTCTTATTCTTATAGTCTCAGAAATAAAGTTCGTACCAAATGCTTCCGACATCAAGGAACAAACGTTGTTCCAGTTTTTGGTTGATAGCTCCACTGATCTTGATCACGGCGGAAAACGCCTGATAAACTCTTGCTAGGTCAAACATAGAATCCAAACAGAGTATTGCTAATGGTATTATTAGTTAAAAGGATATAACTGATCCTTAAAAAATAATTATGATTCCTTCGCAGATTTTGTCTGGGTAAGGATGAATTTATTTGAGTCTATAATTTTGCTGATTCGTTTCATTTTTCCTTGGCTGAATAACATATTAAAATCATTTAACAGCTTGAGAAATACATTGACTTTTTCGACCATTTACTTCTGATTTTACCCATCTCGTTGGAGTCGCATGCAGTTTGATTTACATGATATCTTGCTTCTGAACAATGAAGATATTTTCGTTCACTTGCGTGGATCACTGGATTTTAGAACACGTCAAACACCTTATAAGCAGTATATTTTATGTTTATTGTAAATATTTGAGCATTACATGAAGAAATGATTTTTAATGTCATGGTTTCATTGATATGAGGATGACAAAGATTGCCCTATAATATATATATATATATATATATATATAAATGAAGCAATTCATTCATTTTTTATACCTTTCGCAAACCTCTACTGTGGGTGAATTATGCTTTTACTTCATCCAGGAAAGGTTTTCTTTTCTCTAAGACTTGTGAGAGTTCATCTATCACAACTTGTGGCATATGAAAAGCTGCATCTGTAAGAAGGAAAAAAAAAAAAAAAAAAATGATAAAATATGTTGCCTAAATTTACTACAAGTGTAGTTAAGTAATGTGAAATTAAGGCATAGCAACTTAGGTAAAAATATTTCTCTATTAATGAAGTTCGTTTTCATTTGTAAGCAAATGCAGTTTTTGATACTACGTTTTTCATTTTATTAAAATTGTCAGCGAATATATTTTTTGATACTAAAGCATACTTACGATTTATTTTATATAAATAATTTAATATAAATTTAATTAATTATGGTATATTAATTATAGATTTAATAGGATGAAAAAATATTAAATAAAAGTGCCAAATATAAAAATTATAGACTGATACGAAATAAAATTAAGATAATGATACGGACAGACATATTCCATGAACTTCATTTCATAGCATAAAATTCTTATAAAAGCTGAACATAAAAAGAGTGCTTAAAGTGGTATGGTAGAGAATGATGGAAAGAAGTACGTAAACGGAAATATTAGGATGTGAACATGAAGATGAAGTTAGGATACCTCATAATTTAAGAGAATGGAAGTATTACATTTGAAGGTGTTAAAAAATCTCATACACTCGTACTAATACTTAGGATAACCTTCCCGTGAACCTAGAACTGTAGGCATATGATGAGGCATAAGTCCACAAGTCTACGGAAGAATTTTGTAGGTAATAAACATCATACTTCCTGTTAAAGCGGTCAATTAATGTGTTCTATTCGGGAAGTGTAGGATTTGTACAGGGTTATCCAAATTAAACTTTCCCCAACTCAGAGGCCTGTGCAGAGTGTTGTATGGGTCATAATGTGATGAAATTTTAGAAACAGACACTTCAGATCATGCGCTCGTAATTTATTAAAAAAAAAAAAAAAGAAAAGAAAAAAAGAAAAAAGAAAAAAAAAATTAGTACAAGAAGTTGCCGATAGGTGACGCTGCAGATCACAAGACATTCTACACATGTTCTATATATATGTGCCGTGGTTCTCCACAATTCTTTCCATTCGCAAAGCAGTGTGTTCCCCAGCGGAACGCAGTAAGTCCACATTAATTCCACGAACATGTCGAATAATTGCGTCTTTCAGCTGTGCCAAGGTTGCTGGGTGTTCTCGGTAGACCCGATCCTTTAAAAATCCCCATAACCAAAAGTCGCATGGTGTGAGATCAGGCGAGCGGGGAGGCCAAGCTGTAGGGAAACAGCGACTTATCACACGTGCATCGGTAAAAGTTGCCCGTAACATCTGTTGAACGCCACGAAGAATATGGGGAGGTGCACCATCCTGCATAAATATCGTGTCCTGGAGGTGGTCACGTTGTTGCAGTTCAGGGATCACAAACGTCGTCAACATGTCCTGATGCCGTTTTCCTGTGACAGAGCAGGTTTTGAACCCTGTTGGAGTCACCTCTTCAAAAAAAAAAAAAAAAAAAAAAAAAAAAGGCCCAATGACGAATGTTGCAGTGAAACCCCACCATAGAGTAACCTTTGGAGGGTTCAAGGGCACTTGATGGATTGCGCGCGGGTTTTCACTTGCCCAAATGCGGCAGTTGTGCGTATTCACTTGACCATTCAGGTGAAAATGGGCCTCATCCGTCCAAAGGATGTTCCACGGCCAAGCAGCATCGACTTCCATTCTGGCAAGGAACTGCAACGCAAATGTTTCCCGAACTATAGGATCCCCGTCGGACAGCTGATGACGACTATGGATTTTGTAGGGAAAATAACCGAGGATTCGACGCATCACCACGCCAGACGGTCGTGGACACAACACCATGTGGCGATTGGCTAGTGGGATTCACGACCGCCAAAGCAACGTCTTCTATGACACGTGCAGATTCCACAACCTGTCGTCCTCTACCTGGTAAAATTTCCAACTGTCCCGTTCTTTCGAACTTCTTCATCATGTCTCGTAGAGCGCGTGGGTGTCATTGGTCATCGGGCGTGAGATCTTCAGCCGACGGAATGCTCTTATCGCAGCACAGGAAGTTCTCGTCATTCTGGTAGAAAAGTTTCACTAACAGAGGTCTTTGTCTTTTCAAAGTCGCCATTGTGCATCAGCGAGCTGGAAAATTGTGTATCAGGAGCTACAAAAGTGGAAGACGAGCCTGTGCAAGGCCTGTCTTCCACTTTTGTAGGACTCGTCTTTTGGATACGTTGCGCAGAAGCTTTATTTCTGCAAATCACGTTGCTGCAATATGCACCTTACTAGTGTTACAGCGCCACCTATCGACAACTTCTTGTACTAATTTTTTTTGTGCAATAAATGTCGAGCGCATGATCTGAAGTGTCTGTTTTTAAAATTTCATCACATTATGACCCATACAACACTCTGCACAGGCCTCTGAGTTGGGGAAGTTTAATTTGGATAACCCTGTATATCCTGCAGCATGTTGAATGACATCTCAGATGTGTTCGATAAAGTTGAGATCTGGTGGTTTTGGCCATGGCATGATTTCAGACCGAGAAGAATGTTCCTCTAACCATAATTTGGCATTTCTTGATTTGTGTGGTTTCGTATTATTCTGTTGGAAAAAAACAAGTCCATCAAAACGAGTGCAAGGCATGAATGACTGTAACTCATCAGAAAGGTTATGCATTTAGCATTCACACGTAAAATTATTTAAGGCTCCAAACAAGCTAAACAGCTATTCCATTACGAAGCCATTATTGCTTATACAGTTCCATACTGACGTATAGAGCCAGGATTCGTAAGTATCTGCATAAAGAGATACTAAGATCTGTATGAAACTATTAGAAACGTGACTGATCAAACCAGGTTATTCGTTTCCAGTCGTCAGCTGTCTGAATTACCAAGCCCAGGTAAACCGCATAATTAATTCTATGTCGTCCATTCGTCAAAGGTAATGTTTCGCATTCTTTACCCCGATGTTTGTTGAGGTCCCTATATTGAATATCGAAGTCATTTGAGACAGTATTATAGCCGTATCCTATGAAATGATTTGTGCCCGATAATGCTGGAGATCTGAAACGTTCCATAGGTGTCTATCACTTTATACACGCACTGGTGGACGATGCCAATGACATGCATAGTTAACATTGTATTCTGCATAGCCTTACTAGTGCCAAGTTTTCAGGCACTTCAGCTTTGCAATATATTAGAAAAGGCGAATGTGTGTGTTCTGGACGCAGTGTTCAAGTTTACATAGAATTAAGTATTACCATAACTTATTTAATATTTGCTATACTCTTTATATTTTGGATGTAAATTGATGAAAATATCCAATTGATTTGCTCCGGATATCTTGACCTGTAAAAACTGGTATTTGCAGTTGGGAAGGAGGTTTCAAATATTTGTTCATTTACTTATTTATTTATTTTGCTTTTCAGGTACATTTATTCGCAAAGTTTATACGACCTATTAACACACAAAAATTCTAATTCAGTATCTCGAAACATTTGAAAATATCAAACTGTTCAATTAAATTATTATTATTATTATTATTATTATTATTATTATTATTATTTGTTTCGAAGTTGTGAATGGCACGATTTATAAAGCATCTCAAAACAATGGAAAATATCGAAAAGTTTTTTAATTTAATTATGTTTTTTTTTTTTTTGAAGTTGCGAATGACACGATTTATAAAGCAACTGATATAAATCCCAAGTTTTAAAACTTTATAATTTTGGAAAAAAAAAGGTAAGATTATTTTTTTATATATTTAAAATTGTGAATATTAAAATTTCAATAATGCGATCCATAGAATGTTATAAGCCTTTTTATTATGATCTAATTTTATGATCTGCATTCTTTGAACTGTGAACTGTTTTAAAATATTATGAGATGGATGAGTTTTAAGGCATTGGATTATCTACCTTAGTTATTGTTCACTTCAGTTATTGTTTGTTATTACTTTAGCTATTGTTCCTAGCACTAACAGAAACATCAGCATTTAGTTAATATGATTTAGAAAAGCGAAGAGAAAAAAAGTTTGTGTAGCGTGGACGTGTAGCTGCAGCTGGCTGTATTCCAAAAATAATGATTACATGCTTTCTTATTTAGTAAAAAGAAAGGCTCAAAAAAAGAACTTCAATAATACTTTTCATTTTAAATATTTTGGTTCTTCTTCCTCCTTCCAAATCCTAAAGTAAAAAAATCTGATGTGTACACCACATGACTTCCCTGTACGGGATATTAAATTATACGCATTTTTTCTTGCATTTCATTTAAACTTATCGGATTGAATTAAATCTACTTCGCCGACAGCGCATAAACCACAATAGAATAAATGCATTCTTTAAAATTCACTTTTTTTTACCATAGCGACACTCTGGCGCTAGGTTTACTTAACAGTATTATATTTCGTTCATATTATAACTCAGAATGCACAAAATTTATATCATTTAAAGAATTATCTAATCGTTGCCACATGTTCTATTCAAATACTATAATAAAGCTAGAACTATGTATAAAAGAAATTAAGCAAACAAAAACAAAAAGAAACAGTTTTTTCACAGACGATTGAGTATTTCTCATTCAATTAATTCAGTTTCTCACTTCGCGACAAGGCAAAAATACATAAAAACTCAAAATATCTGTATTAAAAATTACGAAGTAAATCTTAAAACGCTTATTTCCTCGAAAAAATTCCAGAAAGGATTAAGCATGATTTAATTCGCAATAAATGAAGGCGTTATCTTTGTTGTTGCGAAGCTAAGTTTTCTCTAGATTGGCAACAAATCCACTACTCTGCTGTTTCAAATGTAAACAAGCAATGGCCGCCATCAAATTAGGCTTAGCGGCACTTAAACAATTTTAAAATTGTTGATAATTCTAAAAATATTGCATACAGATTTACTAAAGGCATAAAACCCTTAAGAAAAACAACATAATTCAATCATTTTTAAAGCAAAAAATGTACAATTTACAAACATATAAGAGTAAAGAAACTGAGATCACTGAGCCGGGTAACAGAGTGGATATATATATAAATATATTTATATACGTTTGGCGCGGCCGATTGAAACCAAAATACG